AGTGTCAGGGGTGGAAAAATGGCCACGGACCAAGTGTCAGGGGTGGAAAAATGGCCGCGGACCACGTGTCCCGGCGGGAAAATGGCCGCGGACCATGTCACGGGAGGGAAAATGGCCGCATATCCTGTTCGTACCCTGAGGCGGAGTTCGCAAACTGAAGCAAAATTTTGCGGCCAGAGCTGGTCATAACCCAAAAAGTTTGTTAACAGAAGCGTTCGTAACCTGAGGTTCCACTGTATTTGGAGAAGACTTTTAAGGCAATGAATATGTTACGATCACGAAGACTTTGACCATGACAGAGTTATTCAGTATGTGGATGGATGTGGTTTTTTTAAGAAATGGAGGTTTTATCAGTTAAGTGTCTGGAGATCCATTTTTCAGGTCACTCTGGAATCTAGAGAGCCATCTAGTATAAGAAAATAAGTAGGCCTCCAGATCTTCCAAGTGTTATTATGAATAGCAGTAGTACTAATAGAATTAGTAATATTCCTGCAACTTCCAGTACAGTGTAATTTCAATGATAGAAAAAAATTATATGCATTTATAATAAACTTAATGCAGGAAATACTTTGAGGAAAATTCAAAGACCACCAATTACTGGGAAAAAACAATGCACTTTGAATGGAAAGAACTGCCATATTTATTGCCATTGATAGGCTATTGATGAAAAATACCGACCTGATTGTGGAGGACTTCGTGGCTGCTATTCAATATGCAGATTGCTGATAAATCCCATTGAGTCCAATGAAATTTATTTTTGTAGATTGGGTGTAGATTATCTTCTCTGCTCATTGATTCATGATTAGAAATAGCAGCTTTTCCAAGTATAAAATAACATATTTGGGGACAATATATTTCCTACAAAATCTACATGTTGTAGATAAACTTTAAATTCCATATATCCTTTGTCAAAGCAGGAAGACTCAGAACAAAAACTCAAAATGCAAATCAAAACAGCATGAAGCTTTGATATAAATAACAGCTCAGCATACTATATAGATTTTTATAAAGTATTTGTGGGTTACTTCTTAAGGATTTCTCAAAAGAATTGCCAATATCCCAAATGTTTATAAAAGAAGGTTTTTGGTATGACTCAGCTGCAGACAATTGCTAATTAATTATATTTTCAACTCAGATTTTTGAAAATAATCTCTTCAATACTAGTATTAAGCAAATACAGAGCAACTGTACATATTTTGCTTTAATTGTGGCTTTAGATTTATTTATAGAGGTTTTATTATATTGTTTTTTTGTGACTGTTAGCCATCCAAGTTATGTATGTAAGATGGGTGGCCATATAACATTTCCAAATAAATAAATAAAAATTTATTATATTTTTATGCAGTTTTACTTGAAATTAAATCACAGCAATCTTCTACATAGCAACTTGGATAAGAACGATTTTCCATTCATCTCAACATTGTAAACATTCAACTGCCAATAGTTCTTATTACAGACTCAGTTATACATTTTTTGTTTTTTCCTCTCCTCCTTCAGCTTCTCTCGCTGTTAAAAAGATGAAATGAGACAGCTCTAAAGGAGGAGCTTGGAGATGAGAGGCCTCTCAAAAATCCCCTGTTGCACACATTACTTTTCCAAGACAAATACTGAGAAGCACAGTACTCTGGTAACAAAGGTATGTCAAATGATTTTTTTTTCCTTGGGCTTTAACATGAAGAGATTTTTGGTTATAACTGTATTAATTTCTTTTAAATCCTACATAATAATCTTTTATAGCCTCTTGTATGAACATTTTTGGCAGAAGTGCTAGATAAAAGTTATAGGCATGTTCTATGGCTTTTGGATATTTAAACTTTAAAATAAATCTAGATAACAAGGCTAAAACAATGTTAAAATACTATTTGGATTAGAGTATTCTTTCTATTAACACACAGAGGTTAAAAACAGAACTAATGCAATAAGTCTTTTACTTTTTCAGAAATAAATTATTTTATGCCTTATATTACATTAAAAAAGAAACAGTATAATGAATGACATTCTAAGATATTCTGCAGGGAGGAAAAACAGCCAATGTATTTTGTTTACTAAATAAACTGCATAGTATTCCAATTCAGGTTTAGGTATTTATTTAAAATATTCGTATTTCAGACAAATATTTTAAATAAATACTCACTGAATTGGAATACTATGCAGTTTATTTAGTAAACATGCAATTAAATATTAAAGAAAGATAGTATAATAAAGTTACTTAGAGACCAATACTTAAATGTGAATGAATATAGAAATGAACTCATTTTAATCTTCAAAGTTTTGAATGTAAATGCTCATGTCCAGCTTAACAGAAGTAATGTCCATGATATTTTTTGTGGTATTCAGTTTTTTCATTAAACAGCCAGTACAGCCAGTAATTCTATCAGAGAAGAGCCAATAATAATGTATGCATTGTTTTTCTAAAAGCTATTGAAAGACTAGCTTTCAAATAAATAATGGAAGCACACATTTGCCTTCCTAAATGTGAGCTCTTCTATCAAGACTGATCAGTCATGCTTAAATTCAACAATTTGTTTTTTATATGTAAGGATATGAAATTAATCTGCTTGGATCTTCCCAATATCCAAATGACATGCTGATTCACTTGTTGATATTCTGTCATTTTATGGGACAGAATTTTGTAAAGAAAATTGGAAACAACAGACCTTACTAAAATTCATATCCTGTAGAGTTGAAAATTCTGTTCTTCATTCTGGATGCTCTCTTAAAATGATACATTTATACAAGGGAAATGTGCAGACTCATTACCAGCTCATGACCTGACCTAGATGGATCACAAAGTAGTACTATGAAAATATATAATAAACAATTAAGAAGTTGTTCCTAAATCATCTTCAAGTTAAAGATATGATGCAGGACTGAACAAGCTCAACATTACTAATACAGCATGATCTGCATTATTGAAATGATTTAAGCTGGCTGATATGTATCAGAATGATTTAAGTTAGTTGAAGTATCAATGGTGAAAGTATTCTTTTCATTCAGAAACACGCATGTGTTTTGGTTTACTCTAAGGCATTGTAGTATGGACTTGCTGTAAAAAATATTTCTCCATCTTTTGAAATACAATTGTTCTCTTAAGATGTCCATACAAATGTCTCTAGCTTTTGCTGTTTCAGGAACATACAGACTTGTCTTAATTTCCTCTTCCCTTCCTATATACTAAAGCATGCTGTCTATCTTTTAATTTTATCAAGTGTGCTGCATGTTTATCCAGTTAAAATGTATTTATTGTTTAAGAAATAATTTTTAAAAACTGTTTTGGCTGTTTGTTTTTTACAAAGGCTAGCCAATCAATACTGGGTTTTGCTAGAAGCTAGCAGAACTCTTCTTAAAATGGGACAGTGTACATAGGATTTAAATGGGTACAGAATAGTTTGACTACCCTAATGATGCAAGTCTGTAATGATCCAATGACAGAAGTGAAATATATCCAGAGTATGATTTTATATTGGTTGAAAACTGGAGGCACATGCAATTACTTTCAAACATTCCAAAAACTCTAATATATTATCTAGATACAGATATAGCTACTAAAAAATCTATAACTCATAAAATGCTGGAATAGAAAAAAGTATCTCTTCCCTTCTTCAGAGTTTTTCTAGAGAAAAACTTTTTACTATTGCTATGGAAATACTAGTTAGAAACCCTTTCACGGTTATAGTGGATGAAATGCTGGCTTCACTGCAGATGATACTTGTTCCATAGAGTCCTTTTTCCAGATGTGATGAGGTTTTAAAATTGCTGCTCTATTGGAAATGGTTGCTGGCAAGTACAGGATGCTGGTGTGCCACAGATGTGGAACACTGGATAAGCTGGCACATAATTATGATATACTGATTTCTTCTAATGGTGCTTCTAACAAGCATAAGTGGAGATTTCATATAGATAGCACCCACCAATACACTAGTAAGTGGGTTGTAAAAATGCTGCGGAATGATATTAAATAAGACATTTCAGACTTCTTGTTTTGTGTGTGTATCAGGGAGAGTGAGAAAAGAAAGATTGAGATTTTTGTGGTCTCTATTGATAAAGAAGAGCCACCTTATCAAAAACAATCAAAATTATTCTGACAAAGGAGCTACACTTAACATACTCCTGAAATATATTTCCTTTCATATACATATTGTATAGTTGGGCACATATATTCACTCATCTCTTTTTCATAATGGTACATGTACAAAAAACTTGTGCTTGGAAGCTGAGAGGGTTGGGAAAGAGATGGAAAGAGATATTTCCATCACTTCTTTTGATGTCATCCTTGCCATTCACTTTGCACACCCAAAGTTTCCTCAGTCTTCTTCCTCTATTCTTCAGATAATCCCTTACAGAGCAGATCTGCACAGATACCCACAATTGTTGCTATTGCCTCTCAGATAAAATTGGGAGCTTCCCACAATGATGGTAGGATTTGGACAGAGCATTGATCATCTGCTTAGAAGCTAAGACTGGTAAATCTAGAATTATTCCTGAGTTTTTTGGATGAGGCTTCTGGCCATTTGGCCAAACCTACAGTTATAGAAACCCAGTGCTAATATACCACCTATATGACTTTGTGCCTTTAGTCCAAAATCTGTTGGAGCGCTGTCACCAGCCATATGTGTTCTGTTTGCCAATCATGCAGGCTTCTATTTCTGTTTTTTTTAATACAAATAAGTTAATAATTAGATATATATATTAAGTCTATTTTTCTAAAAAAAAAATCCTCCATTCCATGACCAAGCTCCCTAACATCCTCCATGCCCTTTCAAAAAAAAAAAAAAATACAGATCATTGGCAAAAAGAAAATATTTTTAATAGCAAGAGGTATAAATCTACTTTTCTTCTTCAGCAGGTGTCATTACTCTAGATTTCACAGACATCATGAAAAGCAGAAGAAATGGTATCCTGGAGAGCTCAAAAAGTCTTTATTCCAGTATCTCTCGTAGCATGGATCTATCATACAGTGAAAGTGTAAGTGATGAATAAAACCAGTTCTATACAAATAATATTCGTAGAATCCCTCCAGACACATTAAGCTGATGTTAAATGTAACTGCCGGGGACGTGGTGGCGCAGCGGCTTAATGACGCTGAAAGTTGCCGGCCAGAAATGGTCGAC